TTGGGAGATTCTGATTTCAAGGATCAATAACTCAGGAACAAAAGGTTATTCAGACACAAATGACGTCTCCTTAGTATGGTGGTAAGGTTGACAACGAACTACAATCACATTTTGATTTAAAAAAAAAGCCAATAGGCTACGCGCCGCACCAAACTCACGATTTGCATTGTTGTTAGCATCTGGTTAGCTTAACGGATATTAAAAGCCGTTTCTAAAACAAGGAAAGGGAGAGCTCTCTCCTGTCAGACTGAGAGAACTACAGCTCAGTGATGAAAGGGACTCTGAGTGTTTAGATAGTTAAGTTTAGTCTAGTTATCTCAGTGGGTCTCAAACGTTTTGGTCACCATTTATGAGAATAAATGAAAAACAGTTATGAAATAATATTACAGTAAAACAAGAATACAGTTTAAAAGGTGAGTGATTTGTAAAATATCCATAAAGAAAAAGAAAATCTGTTTACAGTTCTGTTTCATATGTGTGTTGAGAGATGCATCCATAAATTCATTTTGCTCTCAAAATGCACCAGATTGATGCATTTAACTTCAATATTTAAAAAAAAAAATCTTCCCAGGGGAGCATGCCTCCGGACCCCCCTAGAGGAGGTGAGGACCCCCCCCCACTTGTAAAATAGCACTTTACCTATGCTTACACCTATATGCCATTTTATATGCTGTGAGCTGATTATCGAGCCTTCATTGTAAGAGTCGCGGGTACACTGTGTATGTGTGCATTCCACTGTAGCGCCCGGTACATTAATGGGAAACTCTAGTTTGTACATGTTCAATACATTTGTAACACTGTACACATGAACGTTTCTTTTTTCGGTTCACCAAAAAAAAAATCTCACTCCAAGCTGAACTCAAATATTGGCAGCCCTGTGTTATATGTCTTCAATTTAAAACCCTGCTACTGTTGTGCAATTGCACTGGATAAGCAGAGTATTTAAGCCTGGGAGAAATGTTTGACAGACAGGCAGTTTATAGAAACTCACCTCGCTGGACTTGAGCACCCCAAAGAGTGGATAGAGGAAAGCAGGTACCAGAGCAGCAGCACCCAGAGGAACAGCCTCAGACACCCAGTAGACTGCGGTCACCATCAGCACGTACGCACAGCATGCCTCCTGCAGGTAGAAACAAGTATCATTGATGAGATGACACACAAAGCTAGTAGCAGTTAGCTTAGTTTAGCATAACTGCTAACCATATTCTGTACAGCTCATTCATTAAGATTTGTATCTAATTTGTTCATTTTTTTTTTATGTAGTCGTATTCAAAGTAGTATGTCGTATTTGTTGTGCTCTAACTCGGCTGCAAACACAAACAAACATACACACGGGATGTTGCATTAGGTTATATAATGACAACATACCAGCCTTTCATACTGCAAACAGTAGCAGGCTTAGCGACAGGCTCCCCAACCTTAAAAACTTAAGAGGAATCTCGTGACATTTGTTAAGACCTTAAGAAAAGACTTCCAATTACTTTTGACAACACTTGGACAATTTTAAACCCAAAAATCTATCGAAAGTATTGTCAGGTCACATACGTAATAGCCTACTAGGAAAGAGGAGAAAATAAATTGTGTTGGAAATGTACTTGTTTTTGACCATGGTCTTTATTGACCATGGTTTTTATTTAATATCTGGATACAGTGTTTCTCCCGTTAGTATTAGAAAATGTCCTACTTCTGCCACAAGCTGTGTGAATTTCTACATTTATCTAAGGGGAACAGTCAGTAAAACATCTTGCCAGAAACAGGTCAGTTAATCTCAAATTATTAATCCCAGAGGGGGAGAATTAACCCCGGGATAAAGAAGCATGTTCAGACGTGTTTATACCACATTCAAACCATGGATTATAACATAAGATTTATAACATTTCAATGTACCTTCTTGTTATTAGTGATGTGATGGATTGAAACTAACTAAAACACAACAAACAAACACACACCTCAACATGATGAGCTAAAAAACGGTGATCTTTGTTCATGAGATCCAGGTAAGTGTCATATCAGAACAGGAATAACAGTCCAAGGCCATGCTAGTTGCTCTATGAGGCTTTACTGAGGCACAGCAGTGCTTAATGCTAACGTAAGCATGCTAACTATACCAGATTCACAATAATGTAATATTCTGAATAATAGTGGAAAGTTAATGTGCATGCAAATGTAGTCAAGATTGGGTAGAGTAAAAACAAGTGACATTAGGTAACGAAGGATAAATGTACAGATAAGAAAAGACGAACGTGGCTAAATAAATAAAGTCAGAAGGCCTTTTCAGCAGAACCTGATTATTGCTTATTCCTGTTATCAGAAAATAGCTGCAGAACAGTCAGATGTTCAAACATCCATTTGTGCTCTCTTTGTTTTAGTTTTGCAAGTAAAAGGCAAAAGCTGGGTCAGCAGAGAGGCGTGATGGGGGCTGATATAGCCTCTATGATAACAATACTTTCTACTGACACTGTCACTGAGAAGAATTCATGCTATTCTAATGGAAGGAGGCCTGCTTTAAGGTCTGACCTAAATTTGTTTAACTTGGACAAAAATTTAAGTTTTCAGCACGTTACATTGTACCTGATTTCAAGAAAAAACAAGTGAAACCTAAAAACCCTACCAATAGATTTATTTTTGACAGAAATAGGATGACAGTGGGGCCACATCTATTCATGAACATTCAAGGTTTTTATTTTATTTTCATTTAAACCAGAAAAAAGTTCATAAAGAGAAAATGTATGTATGTTTCAGTAGGTTACACATATCTCTATGGCCTAAAAACTCTAATCAGATGACAAGGACGGTTCCCTCCCACAGTTTAACAGCTGACAGGCCAAAAGATGTAACCCATTGATTCGTTTCTAATCAACACCATTAGGAAATGGAGATGATTGGTATTTAGAAAGAAAACAAAGTACTCCTTTTATAGGTAGATCAGATCACAGCTGAAACCTATATCCATTGAAGCAATCTGATTGAAGTAATCAGTGGATATAGAGTTCCTATGTTGTGTGGCCATCAATAATAACAGGGGGTCAACAACCTGGTGATATGTAAAAGGTAAATTAATCACTAAAA